ACGGGGAAATGATAAAACAGGCGTTTTTAGAAGCTGCTGATTCGTTATTTGCCAACTTTAGAAATAAAGATGAGATAGTTTCAGCTATAAAATCTATGCAACTTTCTGCTAATACAGTGATGAGACGTGTAGAAGTAATGGATATTTTTTTACAGTTAAAAACTGACTTAGATAACTGTGATTATTTTTCACTTCAACTGGGTGAATCAACAGATGTCGTTGACACTGCCCAGATGGCCGTGTTCGTCAGGATGGTTTTTAGTGATTTTACGATTAAAGAAGATCTTTTGAAGTTTATTCCACTAGAAGGACACACTACTGGACAGGAGTTGTTTTCTCAGTTAAAAAATATTATTTCTTCCGAGAAAATTCCAATATTGAAAATGGTAGGCTTGACAACCGATGGCGCTCCAGCTATGGTGGGTTGTGATAAGGGTCTGGTGGCGTTATGTCGTAAAGATAAAACTTTTTCGCAATTTCTCTGTTACCACTGCATTACCCATCAGCAAGCATTATGTGGAAATTTCCTGAAACTAAACAACGTTATGAAACTGGTGGTAAAAATTGTGAACAAGATTAGAGCTCAAGCGTTACAAAGAAGATTGTTCAAAACCTTGGCCGATGAAGTTGACTGTCAATACGGGGACCTACTTCTTCACTCTGAAGTCCGATGGTTAAGTAGAGGACGGGTGCTAAAACGTTTTAATAATGTCCTATCTGGCATAGTTCAATTTTTCAAACAACGCGATGAACCGACTCAGGAACTAGAAAATTCGATCTGGCTTAGAGATTTTGGTTTTCTCGTGGACACTACAGAGAAATTAAACGAACTTAATTTGCAGCTTCAAGGGAGAGACAAAGAACTAGCGGAAATGATTTCTGATATAAAAGCATTTATCAAAAAGCTGGAATTTTGGGAACAAAACCTAATTAACAGCGATGCCAAGCATTTTCCTATTCTTTCAGAAAAAATATCTCAAAATCCATTAGAACCCTGACAGCAAATATCATGTAGAAATAGTTTCTACCCTGAAGAATACCTTCAGAAATCGTTTTAAGGATTTCACCGAAATGGCTTTAGTAGCGCAGTTTGTTGTTTCACCCTTTATGGAAATTGATATTCAACAGTTTGCAACTTGTGTTATGCAGAACTTTGGCGAAGACATCGCTGCAACAAAAATGAAAGTAATTGAGTTTCAAAATGATTTAGCCTTAAAATCGTTAGTTTCGAGTACCAAATGTATCTGGCCTATTGTAAGTAAAGACAAATATTCAGTTTTATGCCGTGTTGCCTTGAAAGTTTAAGCATTATTCAGTTCAACCTATTTGTGTAAATCTTCTTTTTCCAATATGAAGTTTATTAAGAACAAATATCGCAATCGACTTACAGATGAACATTTGGATAATTGTATTCGAATGGCTGTATCAAATTATACTAAACATTAAAAAAATTCTTAATAAATGCTTAAAATCAAGTACAAAAGTGATCCATTTTTGATTGTTAGCAACAAAAAAGCAAAAAAAAATTAACATAACATTTTAATTATTTTTAATTTTTAACTAAACGTTACACATACGCTTATTTTATTAATTTATGCATAATATTCATATTAATTTAATAAACCGCACTGTTACGCGTTTACCTAAAGGTCAGGTTCTTATAATAGAAAATAATAATTAATATTTAAACAATTAATTAAATTAAGGTAACATTTTTCCAGATCTGGACTTAAACAATAATAAGTACACTAATCATAACAATAGTAATTGTATTCACGTCTATAATTATTTAAATTGATTGTTTAATAATGAAATTGTTTCATTTGAATGCTAGGTATTAACTGCTACTTTCTATAACTATTTAGCTAATCTTCAGACTAGTATACAATTAAAATTTAATGGGAGTATAATAAAATTATGCAATTGGACAATAAAGCAATTATTTCTTCTATTTAATAAGAAAGTTTACTTATCTTTACTTTTATCATTCAGTTTTTTGAGAATAATAATTGATTATCTGTATACCGGATGAAAAACATTTTACAATTTTAAATGAATAAAGTATATAATAGAGGAGTATGTCAAACTTAACCACCCTGTTTCGCCAAAAATGGTACCAGCAGATTTTGAGATTACTATTCATAGAAGCATCTACAAGGCGTTCCCAGAAGCAAGTCTACAAGCAGAAAACATCACATTAAACAATCGACTAGAATTCGTGGAGGAAAAAATTAAAAACCAAAATCTAATTTTTTACGGAATAAAAGAAAAAACAGAAGAGAAGGCGCAGGAAACACTACCAGCTGTTACGAAATTATTAAAGAATCAATTAAAAGTCGAAATTGAAAGGTTTGATATAATTGTAAAAGGTCTTTACAAAAACATACCACATATTCCTTAGACCAAAATAAGTCGATTTAAGTAAAATTACTTTAGTACAAAGTTGCTTCGTTTGGGCTCCAGAGGGCCTTGAAGTCACAATTTTTAAATCGTTTTTCCCATATAAATTTAAAACGGCATATGCGATTTTGCTGAAATTTGGTATATTGGTAGAGTTTTATGTGGAAAAAAAATGGTAATAAAATTTTGTCCGATAATAATACATAGGCGTAGAACTTGATTTTTTAAATAATTGCACATTTAAAAATTCTACGCCAATGGAAGAAAAGGAGTTTGAGTATGAAATTTAGATTGCGCAACTCATTTACTTTAAAAACGATACTCTTGATAAGACTCGATTACTCTCATGGTTTTGACGAAATTTACATTTTAGTAATTTTAGAACATAAACAATAATTATTAAAATACAAACTTTGTCAAAACCATGAGAGTAAATCGAGTGTTATCAAGGGTACTTTTTTGTAGTAAATGAGTACCCAATCCAAATTTCATACTCAAACCCCTTTTTGCCATTGGCGTAGAATTTTTAAAGGTGTAATTAATTAAAAAATCAAGTTCTACGCCTATGTATTATCGGACAAAATTTTATATGATGAAAAACATAAAAATGTAGTTTTTTCATATCTTCTTCAACACCTCTAATCGATACTTTTAACAAAAATACTCGATTCTTGCCATGTACGATTTTTTGAGGAATATTAATTATTTGCCTGCAATACGTATACAAAAAAATTTATTGTTGGTTTCCATAGTTTCATCTAAATAAAAATATTGTAAAGTTTTAACAGCTAATCTCTTGTTAACGATTGAAAGTGTTCTATCTGACTCAATAATTAAAAAAAACAAATGCGTGGTTTATTAATATGGCTGTACAATATACCAATGCAGAATATACCGATATGTTACTGACATTAGGATTTTGTGAAGGAAATGCTCGAGAGAGTGTCAGGGTGTACTCTGAAAGGTTTTCAAATCGTTGTGTACCTAGCCACCCCACTTTTGCTGCTGTTGAGAGACGTCTTCGGGAGACCGGTTCCTTTGCTCCCAACACTGTTGATAATGGAAGAGAACGTTTTGTAAGGATTCCTGAAGTTGAAGAAGACATTTTAGAACGTGTTGAAGAAATCCAGAATTAAGCACCAGACGAATTGGAAGGGAACTAGGAGTAAGTGAAGATGTCGTTCATAAAGTGCTTGGAGAACAATTGCTATATCCATACCATAAGAAGCCAGTACAAGAATTATTAGTCCATGATCCTCAAATTCGTTTGGGTTTTTGTCGATTTGTTAATATGCAAAGAGAAAGAGATCCAAACTTTGTTAAGAAGGTTCTCTTTACCGATGAAGCGGGTTTTACAAGAAGAGGTATAACTACTACCCATAATGAACATGTTTATGCCGTTGAAAATCCGCATGCAATAAAGGTAAACCATTTTCAGCACGAATTCAAAATTAATATGTGGGCTGGAATAACTGGTAGTTTTATTGTTGGTCCTGTCATACTTCCACGAATATAAACTGGAGAAAATTATTTGGATTTTCTACAAAATACGTTGCCAGAATTGTTAGAAGATTTACCTCTCCAACTTCGAAGAGATATGTGGTTTATGCAAGATGGAGCTCCACCACATTTTTATTTAAACGTTAGAAACCACTTAAATGAACAATATCCACACAAATGGATAGGCAGAGGTAATGACGCACCTGTAAACTGGTCACCACGTTCCCCAGACCTACCACCGGTGTTACTTTTTATGGGGACATCTGAAATCTACAGTTTACAGGGAACCTGTAAAAATGAGGAACAACTCTGGCAATGTATTCAAGATGCAATAAACAATCTTAGAGGTGATGAAGAAGTTATGGAAAGGATACATTTTAATTTTCTTCGACGTATAAATCTTTGTATGCGTGAAAATAGTGAACATTTTGAACAATTTTTGTAAAATCTCTATTTTGATTATGTTGTAAATAAATATTTTTGTGAAACCTATACACTCTAAATTATTAAAACAGAAATTTAGCGAAAACCATGAGAATAATCGAGTCTTATCAAGAGTACCTTTTTTAAAGTAAATGAGTTGCGCAATCTAAATTTCATACTCAAACACCCTGTATATAATTTCGTTGTGACCTTTTTCGAATCAGGTAGGAAACTCTTTTTTAGGATGCAGTTTTGTAAGTGCCTATTAGTATACTACAAATACACTTAAAGAGGTAAATTAAATTTAATCAATTTTAAAGAAAGTCCATTGCATTCTCTCAACTCACAACTTATTGAGTATACTTTTTTAATATTCTAAAAACAAATCTCTAAAATCCTTGTTAGGAATTTAGATTTTTGCTATTTCTTGAAGTATGACTTTTTGTTTGACATTTAGAATAATAAGTAACATCAACAGATTTTCGAAATATGATTATAAAACTATATACAAGGTGTTAAATAAGCAATTTAAAAACAACTTTTTCAATAAATCCTTGCTATTATAATAATAAATTATGAATTTAGTTATCTAACAGCATTTATATAACTAATTATCTATAAAATACAGCCCTGCAGTGCCGACACAGCCGATAAATAACATTTACCCAAGTGCAGTGGTGCATTTTTGCAGCATTCAAAATGCGTTAAAATCCTTGTTACACATAACTCGAAACTGCCATTCCAGCCAAGGTCTCGTGGCACGTTTAAAATGCAATTTCTTAAACAACTATTAACAAAATATGACAGAGATTAGGACGGGAAACATGAAAATGTCGCCTAAAGTGAGGACTAGTGTTTCGGAAGTGTTGTTCGCGTTTACGTTGCTCATCTTCAGTACGGCGAACGCTCAGGATAATAATGTGTGTCCCACGTTCAAGGACTATTATACGATGAAGAATAACTCGAATTGTTGGTACGATTTAGCGGCAGAATCCAGCGCTGTGAGTATATTGTGTACAGTGTGTATCAAAAAGTTTTACTAAAAAAATTACATATTTTCTGCGTCACTTTTACATTGATCTTGGATTTTCTAAAAAAATTAATAAACAAACATATTCAGGCTTTCAAATACAATATTACTCTTAGATTTAACCTATAACATCCTTAGATGCATAGATGATGTTACTTTGCTTGTCTTTTCTACAGCATTTGATGTTTTCACAAGATCCTTTCAATAAAGATTCATAAAAATATTCATCTCGAACCTCGTAGATACCCTACTGATGATCTTTATAAAATATCCGAAATTATGTATTAAATACATTGCAATTAACATTTTTATATATGTAATTTTTGTTTATTTTTTAAATATAACAATTAGACCAGAGCATTCGTTTGCAAAATTGTTTTAATTTGTAATTTTCTTTTTAAAATATCCGGAAGGTTTGCCTAATTATAAAAGTGTAAGATGACACTCGTATTTGTTGATGTTATTGTTTAAACAACGAAAAATTAATTAAGCCAGAAAAAATGCATTTGTTGCAATGAATTAATTTTTTTTATATTCTTTAGGATATTTCGACTAAAAAAGTCCTTACGCCTATCATCGTATTTTCAACCCTTTAAATGTTATGACTTTTTTAAAATCGAAAATTGACGAAAATTCTAATTTTCTTGAATTAAATAATATACCTTAAAATTTAAAATGCTATAATTTTAAATTTTTTATCGAATATTCAAACTATAATAAACAAAATTACCTAAATAAATTTTGTTTGTTGTTGTTTTTTTTTTACGTTATAACAATATGCTTCCTACTCGCCACGGTGCCACGAAAACTAATGCCTCGCCATGATCACAAAATAAACACTTTTTGTCGTCAGATAATATAATTTTTTTTTGAAATTAAAGAAAACGACATCTTTATTCAGAAAATTACACGACTTCAAAGTAAACCAGTAGATGTAGAATCGAGCAAGACTGATTAACAACTGAAAAATAATTTTCAAAACGAGCCAAAAATTCTAAGGTAGGGTTGAATTTTCTATTTGGAAGGTTGTAAAAATTGTTTATGTCAGGAAAAAAAATAGAAAAAGAGTTAAACGTACAATTTTTTCAAAATACGAAATAAGCCCCTTTAACTATTTGTATTCATAGTGCAAAAGATTGAGTCATAAAAAAATTTCATGTTTATAGTACTTACTTTCAATATTAGAAAAATAGTTATTTATGCAACAAGTGTGTAAAGTTACCCGGCTATATCGACACTGCAGGGCTGTATTTTATAGATAATTAGTTATATAAATGCTGTTAGATAACTAAATTCATAATTTATTATTATAATAGCAAGGATTTATTGAAAAAGTTGTTTTTAAATTGCTTATTTAACACCTTGTATATAGTTTTATAATCATATTTCGAAAATCTGTTCATGTTACTTATTATTCTAAATGTCAAACAAAAAGTCATACTTCAAGAAATAGCAAAAATCTAAATTCCTAACAAGGATTTTAGAGATTTGTTTTTAGAATATTAAAAAAGTATACTCAATAAGTTGCGAGTTAAGAGAATGCAATGGACTTTCTTTAAAATTGATTAAATTTAATTTATCTCTTTAGGTGTACTTGTATAATAATAGGCTCTTACAAAACTGCATACCAAAAAAGGGTTTCCTACCTGATTCGAAAAAGATCACAAACGTTCTCTTTATATTCAGTCAGTAACATTTTCAGAATAGTTATTTATGCAACAAGTGTGTAAAGTTACCCTTTTTTGACGAATGTGAATGTTGAATGACAATCACATGAGTCAAAAAACGGACTTTACACACGAGTGGCATACAATATTTTTTCTACTACCGTACACATAATCCACTAATATTAGAAATATAAAAGTTACTTTTTTTCACTAGTGAAAAAAAGTGCTTTACTTTACGCACTAGTGAAAAAAAGTAAAATGTGCCAAAAATTGTACACAGCAACAAAAATAAATTTATTGGAACTTTACAAATTTATAATTCTTACAGAACAAAATGACTAACAAATGAAGAAATATTTAAAAAAATAGGTTTTTAACTCTTATGAATATTAATATTGAATGTGCAATTATTGCAATTACCAAACCAAACACAGAGTTTGAAAAATGTTGTGATATTACTTCTGTAACCATATTTTGAGCTTCGAGTGGTATGGATTTGGCCTTTTTAAATAAAGAGGTTGAAATATTTTGTGTAACTCTAGTTTCACTGTCGAGTGGTTCCACTAATTCTTCATTAGAGTTGTCAACGGTAAAATTGTAGCTTTATTTGGAAGTGGATGGCATACTGTCATCCATCAAAATTTTATTAGAAATTTTGTTTTTTTGTGTTATTGTGCTGTCTACGTAGCCTTCTGCAACAGCCGATGATTTCCATCCACCATATTTTTTGACCGTTAGAAGGTCTCCTCCAGAATTTGCCAGCATAGTGGCTGAAGACCTCCTAAAGCAGTGTCCTGTAAAAGCCGTTGGATTGGGCAAGTTTAAATACGTTGCTATAACACTTGGCATTTTACCAAAAGTATTTATCCCTACAGGCTGTTTAGAATATTTTCCATTTGCGAATTTAAAAAAAAAGCTGTTACAATTTATATTTGATGGTCTTAATGAGGTATATTTTTTTATGAAAGATAAATAATCATATATTTTTTTATGAAAGATAAATAATCAACTGCAGAATTATTTGGATTTAAAATCGTAAAAATGCGTTCTATTCCATTTTTGGTTTCTGATACTTTGACAATATACACTGTTTGTTTATCTTCCACATCATTAATTGTCATTTTACATAATTCTTCCCGGCGACAAGCTCCCGCAATTCCAATTATAAAAGCTACCTAAAAAATAACATATTGTAATGTTACAAATAATTTATTAAACATTAGGAAATATCTTGACGTTGCGCATGTAAAACTCCAAATAAATGCTATTGTAAAAAATATAAAAGTTTTAGGTATAATGTGCTGCCTAACAACCCCGGTGGCCTGTTGGGACAGCAACTGATTTTGTTAGGCAACACACCATACGAACACACATCTCGTTGCAAAACTTTACAGAATATTTTAATTTTATACTGAGCATTCAAGCATTTACTGAGGCATTTACTTACTTTGATCATTAAAAACTTGGAATCTGGAGCTTTCAACAGAAAATTAATTGGATCTTCTCGTTTAAAAATTTTGGATTTTTTTGGTTTATAACCTTTATTTTTTTGTTTGAGAAACGCTATTAACTTGTTGAATTTCGAAATATCAACGTTGTTTTTATATTTTAAGGTGCTTTTAAGCATAGAATAAATCGACCATAGGGTAGAAGCTTTGCAATTCTTCAATTCATCAGAGAAATATGCTAAAATAACGTTTTCCGAATATTTTGTCACCTTATTCTTCCTACACCATTCAATAAATGCATTGTATTTTTGCTGATAAATATATGCAGATTTTTCTGGCAATAAATTTTCAGTGGCCTTTTGTGCACTGCATAAGATATCTGGGGGAGTATTATCAAATTCGCTATCGCTAGATAAATTTGAATCCATATCGATTATGACAGATATAATAAACTGCAAATAAAATTTGAATTTAAGTAAACAAACATTAAAAAGTAAAACTTTCTACCTTCTCAATCTTGAACTTAAGTATACTTTTGTCGTGTTCTGTTATAAGGTAGGTACTAATTAAAAGTTTAGAGATTGACAGTTCTTCTAATCCACACAGCCACGGCAAACTTACTTTTACCAAAATCGACATCCACTGTATGTTTACTTTTAATTAAATCGTTGACATTTAGAGAAAATTATAATTAAAATAAACTGTTGATAATTTGTTGGACACTAAATAGATATAAGCAAAAATAATTTATTTATTTGTCTTAGAAGGAGATAGCAAAAAAATGTTAATATAAAATAAAACGTTATATTTTTGTTGTTATGTACAAATTTTGTCAAATTTTACTTTTTTTAACTAGTGCGTAAAGAGTTTTACTTTACGCACTAGTGAAAAAAGTACAACTTTACACACTTCGTGGAGTGCGTAAAGTACGTACTTTACGCACGGTAGTAGAAAAAAAATTTTATTATAAAAATTAATTTGTCCTTTTGTAATGGATCCTCATATTAGAAATCACCAGATTTCTACTTTACAAAATGTTATTACCTACAGCATTGAAGAGACTAATAACATTTTAGACGAAACAAAAAGTAATAATTTCACAATATTTCACAATAACACTCGTATACAAAGTTTAAACCGAGAATACCGATCAAAGAGAAGCGACAGTAGCTGTCGGTGCCTTTGATATCGGATGGACCTTTTTCACAGCATGACTTTGATTAATACACAACTTGGCACGCTGAGAAAACATGCTTATTTTCTACACTGAGCGAAATAGTTTGGCAAATTATCTGAAACATTGTTATAGTCCATGCGCAAATTATGTTATGTGATTTAATTACATTGAAGTAGTTAGGGTTAATAGCAATGATGAAATTTCAGCACCAAAATATAATGCATTATATAATAATTACCTATTTGTTATAAAAGTAAAAGACGTTTATTATTTTATAATTTATCTATACAATTTGTTCAATATTTGGTTTATTTATATATTTATTGATAGAGTAATTGACAAATTAAGTGATGCTATATGGTTGAATATGACATGTAGAAGAAGACTTCATATGGCTACTCTATTTCACAAAATAATTTTTGTCTAGGGCTGGCACTTAGAATCAGTTTTACTGTATGCCAGCTCTATTTTGCAGTGTTACATTAGGTGTTTTTTTACAATTATATTTTTTTGTTCCATAGTCTGTGTAAGCTGCAAATAAATGAATTTATTACTATTATTTTTATTATTATTGTTAAAAATGTAATAAAAGCCCCATATGTAAATTAAATCACCTTTTCCTTAAGTAAAAATAAGGTAAATAAAATTAAGGGTACCAAAAAAATTTAGGTAACAATTA